TTAAAATTATTTTAAATTGTGAGTGGTAATATATCCTTTAAACTCATTTTTGTTTTTCCCAGTATTAATTTTTTTTTTTTTTCAGAACGCTTCACCTGATGTAGTGAAAATGTTGGTTGGAAACAAATGTGATGCGTTACACCTGCGGCAGGTAGAGAAAGAAAGAGGTGAAAAGGTGATTATATATATACATATATAACTTTGTCAGTATTTCTCACAATTAACCATAACAAAACAAATCTTAAAATTTACACTCTTCACTAACTGAATGTGTTAACGGACCTCAATATATCAATGAAGTGTTAAAAGGTGCTGTGAAATAAAAAGTATATTTGATTTTTTTCCCCATATGACCATCAAAAAAAAAAAAAGTCTCTGCAAGTAATAGTTCAAATTTGGCCAACTCTCTCAAAGTGCAGTTGTTGCGTGCGTTATTTGGTCATCTCATTAACAAAAGTAAGGAACACGATCTTTAGGTATTTCTAAACCATTTATGACTGATGTTACTAGAGAACATATTAGCACAAGTTTCAAGAATTCTCCAGCGTCATGTTTAGTGGGAAACCAAAAAATACCAAAGGAGATGAATGACCCTTAACAGTGTGTGAGGTTAGCACAAGAATAAAGTTGCATCATTCCAAAGTCTGTTTTGTACGAAAGACACGTTATGTTCTAAAATTTTTGGTAAACAAGAAATTTTCATCTTTCTTAACTAAAAGGAGAAGAAACACCTAATATGTGTAACTTTACTATCGAAACCTGGAAATCATAGAGTAATAATCAAGGTAAACTTGTGTCCAATATTTTCCAACCCTTGAGCACCTGTTGAATATTTAAAATAAATATCATTTAAAAGTCAAAATGTGTGTTATAAAGTTAAAGAATTTAAAGCATTTTACTACTTATACTTTTTTCATACTTTTACTAATTAAACCAAAACTTGATTTCGCAAAGGGGTTATCTGCTGAAGTTTCTTAATTGCTCATCATAAGCGCATATTCCCCGGTGGAACAGCAGTAAGTCTACGGACTTGTAATGTTAAAATCTAGGGTTCGATTCCCCGCGGTGGACACAGCAGATAGCCTAATGTGGCTTTGCTATAAAACAATCAAAAGAGCATTTTTATTTCTAGCCCAAAATTCACAATCTACATCTAATTTTATATTTTTTATTTACCCAATAAAAGAGTAATAGAGAAAGTAAATAACTTGGATTTCAAACTAATTTTACTTCCTAAGTAAATTTGAATATGTGATTTGCCTAATAAAACTGTAAGTTAAAAATGTGCGTAAACAACTATTTTCGCCTTGTATTGTGAGAAAAGAAACACATACAGAGTCGTCCACTCTGTTTTTATTTTTATAGCTAAATCAAAGAAGTAATACAAGAACACTAGTCTAGCATAAGTTAAAAATTTCGTAACGCTGTTCTTCTCCAGCTGTATATGTACACATTAAGAGGCGTTTTTTTTTTTTGTCAATACGATTAACGAATTGCTTATTTCCGTATTTCAATATTTTTCTTATTACTCGTCTCCACTACCACAAGGGGACAGTGATAAGTCTACGGACTTACAACACTAAAATCCGAGGTTCGATTTCCCGTGGTATACACAGTAAATAACCCAAAGTGACTTTGTTCCAGAACAAACAAATTTATTTCGCACTGCCTGTGTTTTTCCCAGTACCTCATATGATGTATTCGAATTTCAGGTATAATGCCTCAATATATTGTCTACATTAAGAATCCATTTCTGCTACCTAATTATTTTTTGTTTCAAGTGTATCATTTCAAAAGAACGAATGTTTACGAATATGGTGTTTGTAATATCATTTAATTAATCAATCCAAGTAGCCTTCATTAATAATAATATTCAAATAACAGAGAATATTAATATTACTCTTAAGTCAGTGTTTCCCAACCTTTTTCGCCGCAGCGCTCCCTTCAGCAAACAATAAGCGCTCATGCCTACTTCTAATAAATTGTTAGACCATAAAATATTTTACTAAAATGAAAATTGTAAGACAATAATAGTCAATTCTTACGGTTCATATAACAACACATAAGACCTCGTGACTTTCTTCAGATGGCAGATAGTTTCGACATTCCTTTCTTCGAGTGTAGTTGCAAGCAGAACATCAACATTGATGGTGCCTTCTTAACCCTAGCTAGAGGTATCAGGGAACAGCGTGAAAACAAGGTAAGTCTTTTTTTTTTTTTGCATTACAGCTTTTAACCCTCTATTGCAGGTAGTAACGTACAGGTAAGAAATCTATATTTTTAACCTAATACACATACAAATTATTCAGTTGTGTAGTTGAATTTTCTTACTTCCAGGTATCAGTCTGAATCAACTATGAAATTATTTTTATTGATTCCTCAATGGAACAATGTACCAGTTTATAGCTTCTTGAAATGTTTCACAAAAACATTTTTGGGCAATATAGGCTTATTGAAGTTAGAAATTCAATGAAAACTTCTTACCAACGTTTTCCATAATCTGCGTAATAGAATATTTATGAAATTGGTTCTAGTAGTCATTTTTATTTTAGATTACCTCACTATAAGGTTATCAAAACAGTATGATAACCATTATATATTTCTCTTTATTATAGTTTATGCTATAGACCCCTCCAGTGGCTCAGCGGTAAGTCAGAAGGTTTATAACTCTAAAAATCAGGTTTCATACTCTTGGTGAGCACAGCACAGAAACCCAATGTGTGGTCAATCAGTTACCATATTGAGTTATCTTTACGATATGTATAGATTATACACAAACTCTGATTAAAAAACAACAACTAAACTACAGGTCATGTTCTTGAAAGCTTGTTTTCATATTTCTTGTGTATCTTTTTAGCCGCAGCTCATAGAATGGCTGAGTTTTTCAAGTAGAAACTCTTAGCTCATAGCTCCGAGTTGAGAACTAATTACAGTTTTGAACTCAGGAGGTCAAACCCTTTCGATTGATCTATTTGACCACCCCCAATGTGTCGTAAATAAATTTACCCAAATCCTGCCTAAAAAGAATTTCAATTTGAGGGTAGGCTGTTAGAGATGTTTTGAGTAATGAAATCGAAAATGGTATACTCGCACCCAATGCTTGGTATTGTTGACGCAAACAATAGCTAACAAAAAGAAAACTGAAAAGAAAGTCTCACAGATTAATTTACTCTAATCTTGCCTAAACGAATTTCAAGTGCCGTGGCTATTGAGGATCTCCTCTTGTTTTTAGTTACCCACTCTATGATAACATAAGTTATGGAAGGAAAAAATTGAAAATAAGATTTGAATATATAGCAGAATACATGATGACACATTAATAGGCAATGTTAATGAAATTATTTCGTTCATCAATTTGATGATAGTCCATGAATATATACACACACCTATATATTTTTAGGCTAGCAGATTTGAAGAGACGGAGAAATTGAAACTGGAAAGGGCAGAAGGGAAAGAAACAAAACCAGAAACCACCGGAAGATGTGGCTGTTAACTTTGGAACGTGAAAAATATGGAAGGAACGAATAGCTTTTCGTGCCCCCTACCTTCGCAGACATTCCAGATAACATCGGTAAAATTTCAGAAAGCAGGAACCAATAGTACACACATGAAGAAGTGGCCTTCAACACTGTATCTTGAGCATAACTCGTAGCTTTCAGAAGATCATTATAAATAGAAGCCAGTGTTTGTACCCCTTGAAAGGATGTTTATAATGTTCTGTTAGATGTATATATGTATGGATTCCATAAGTTAGCCACGTTATAATATCTGTACACCTCGCATGCTTCCTCTAGCTTCGTAGCACCTACAATATCTACTTGTTAGTTGTAGCTTTAAAATTAACGCTATGCTTCCAAGAACTAGCTATAAAATAAGAGAAAGAAATGTATTTCTTTTCTTCTATTAAGGCATAATTTTCTGCCTAACATTTTCCACTTAAGAAAATATAATTATGTATATATATGATTAACTTTACTATATATAAAGAAGTCCGATAGTTTTATTACGAATTACATATATAGTACTCTACAAATTTACGAAATAAAACGTGTGTTAAGGCTGTAACTACACGTGTTAAGACCGGTATGAAATCTTTACTTCCAGTATTTTAATACATAATCAACAAACTTCGTAGTGAGTCCACTCAAATAAAAATAATTAGTTTCGTATATTTATACTCAACTCGAAACCGTTAAAAAAATACAGTAACACAGAAACCCCCTTATAACACTGAAATCGTATTTCGATACCCTAGATGGACTCGGTGCAGTTATCCCAATATGTAGATTTGCGGCTAGACACAAATCAAAACAGAAAAATAATTGATTTGTATGTGGTTAAGTTTTGTAGCAAAAAAGCATTGGGATCACAGAATGAAATGAATTAGCTACAACAGAATCCATTAATTAATTAAAAAATTCAACTTGTTTTCCGAGACAAATTACATCTTAAGAATGGATTGTAAAACAAAATTTTAAAAATGGTATTTTCTTGCAATTACACTTGCTACTACACAAAACAACCTCGCCCATTAGCCCTAAAAAACCTCAAGATATCCTCATAAAGGAAATTGTAAGGATTATATAAACTAAGATAGTATTAGAGATTATATGAAAGGTAGTATCAGCCAACAATTTAATTCCCCATGTTTCATGTATGGTAAAAACCAGCTTAAAATTGATTCCTGCATGATGTTTCACATATTATCATCTTGATCTATATAGAAAAATTGTGATAGCAGTTACCTTTTTTCCAGAGGCATGAAATCATATAATTCTTATATCATTTTGTATATTTTAAATGTATTTTATTGTGAAAAAGACACGTCTAAATCATTATAAAAAAATTAAAGTGACATACTACATGTCATCAAGTACTAGTTTTTCAATGTACGTTTTCATGTAGCAATGCTTGAGCATTTGTGATATACGGTTGTGTTTAGTCAAAGTTGCCTTTTTGCACTTAACTTCTAATTTCAAGTTCTCCATGGATGTACGATAGTAAATTGGGATTAAAACTTGGTATTCCAAATATAATGCAGTTGCCTGTTAGTTAACAATGTTTTGGTTGTTTCTAATCAAATCTAATACTCTTGAACGAACATTGGGATACAACCAGAAATTGGAATTTCAGATTTTAAAAAAAAAAGTAACTTTCTGCCAACATTTAACTTTTTTGTTTCCATCTTATTTCAAATAGTGTTTAGCTTGAAGTCTAATCTCAGAATTATTTCAAAAATGAGTTCACTATTCCAGTATTCAAAACATTTGAAAATACTGATCGATTTTCTGAATATGTTTGGTGTTTATGACATCATTAAGTATCTGAATTATTAGTAACACATCGAAAAGGGCACACACACACACATTAAGACTTACGTTTAATATCAAACTAAATGTAAAGAAATTTACACACTACCTTAACTACTGCTGAACATAACATAAAAACTTTTTTTACTTGGGAAACAATACACCCTTCTTTAACCATTCATTTAATGAAGGTGTTTAAAAGCAATATTACTATGAGGATTTCTTTCTTAAAAATTATTAAAACCAAATAAAGTGCAGAGACTATAACCCTGACATACACATCTAGGTAACTTTTGCAAAGTAATTCAAATACAAAGATACACTTTAAAATATATACACCAAAAAATACAAACACAGTAAACGTTCTACTGAATAATAATTGTTATTAAATATTAACTTTAAATGTTATGACACGGAAAAAAGAAATCTTACACCATATTCAGTCCTCCACAAAAATTATGACTGATCATACGCTATAAAACAAAATACACAAAATTGTAATTTTCTGTATATTTAATCAAAAGTGAATTCTTAAACAGAAAAAATAAAGTTTAATGTCTTCATAAGACCAAAGAAAATACAACTTCAAATTCTGGTCTTAAAATATTAACCTGAGATAGAAATGCTTTACTGAAACAAAGATGAAATATTATAAAAGTATATGTTAAATGTTCATAAATAACAGAGTAATCAAAATTTACATATCCATTTTACTTACTTACCATAGGTGGGAAGACATGTTCAGTCTGTTTGGAAATGACTATTATGTTAAGACCACAATGATACATGTTTGACAATCTCTTGTAACTGTACTTAAGCCTACTGCTGTATCAAGTTAAAATTCTTTACACAAGTTATTAATGTTTGGCATATCATGTATGATTATTTTATATGAACATTCAAAGTAGCTGACTGAACAAAAGTAGAAAAACATTACAAACTTAAATTCTCTATTTAATTTTCAAGTTAAAATATGATGCCTCACAGTCCAGTTTTTAGTATTGATATAACACCAGTTTTTTAATGTAAACTATATACCAGTTTTTGATATTTTATTTTACTATTACAGTCAAAAATTAAACATCACAACTGAGTTCCAAATTAAATGCAACAGTATGATATCCATATTCTCCAGTTATAAATGTATCATGAAATAAAACACTTATAATGAATTCATCTTTATATCTAATCCTTTTGATGGTGAGAAATGTCTGTAATTTATACACAGGCTAAAGGGATTTTTCGAACTTTTATTACATCAACAAACATTTCAATTGAATTTCTGAAATTGAAAAACCTGCTTCTTGTGTTTAAGATGTGTGTGCTGTAGAATTAACCAGGTTTAGTTTCCATTAACCAAAGTCACTAGCAAATGCTGACTACAAAATCAGTTTCTTCCTGAAGATCCAAAACCACCATCTCCTCTTACAGTATCATCAAGGGTCTAGAAATAATAAAAATAATGTAAAACTAAAAACTGTATTGTTAGCCAAAAGCAACTAACCAATATGTTCAAAAACCTTATATATATATATATATATATAGCAAACCATGGGGTCTGTCTGAGCATTTGTCTGTCTCCCATTTGAAAAAAATTGCACACGCAGGTAAAGCTCAACATTCACTTTTAAAATGACGGGGGAACGGGCATGAATAATGTTGATTTCAAATTTTATTTCGCAAGCAGGATATTCTACACTAAATTGTTAGGAATTAATCACACTATCATTCACATTTCAAAATGTGACTTAACTTAAAAAATAAAAATGTAGATTTACCATATGTTACTGTTGAGCGGCTCTTAGCATGAATAAAATGCTCAACAATTACTTTTTGCAGTGGGCAGTATAAGTAGCCCAGAGCTTTGGCTCTGAGTGAAACTAAGAGTGCAACACAATTAACTTTTTTAAAGACCATGAAATAATTTAATTTAACAGGTTAACTTAAAACTTTTCCCAATACTAGAGATTGGTACTTTTACTTGTTACTTAATGTTTCAGAAATATCCAATAATTTATGTAAAGAAGTCTTCAGTTATATTTCTTGAATGCTTTTTATTTCTGAAGCTAAGTGAACGTTTTAAGTTTTGTAGTGGTAATTGAAATATTCTTCACATTATATTTGTTCCTATAAAAAAACTACTAACCACAATCATCATTTTAGACTATACCTTCTTAGGAATGATACAGTATTCAAACCATCTTCAGAAAAACTGAAACATATTTTAAAATAAAAACTGTTTTTAGTTTGAAAATAGGGTAACACTTTGTCATTGTTACCACATTTATTTTAGAATATCTCTGTTCACAAATCTTATTGGCAGCTCCAGTGCAAAGACTGTAGCAGGAGAGTGCAATAATTTATGCATAAATTAGAATTACTCTTTTGTATATAGAAAAAAAAAGGAAACCAAAACTTAACTTGCTTTATGTTACTACCTATTCTACACTGTATTCTTAAGAAGTTAGTAAAACAAAATGCAATTAATCTATATCTATTTGGTTATTTGATACTTTAAACTTGCAAAATATCTCTTGGCCTGTACCCTTTCAGCAAACTCTACTGTAGTCTCTCAAATATTTGTTAGAAAATGAGATACAAGCAACAAATTATTGATTTTGTTACCTGAAGTGATACAAGTATAAGTCAGTGAATCACATGCAGCTGCAACCTGAATATATAAAGTTAATGAAAACACATCTTGCGATGTCTTATGAAGCATAATATGCATATAATCTCTGCATTAATGTCTTAAAAGAATAAAGTAGTGGAGGGAGAATAAAAAAAGTTCTTTTTTAGACCACACTGAGATATAGAACGTTTCTTTTTAAACAACTGATGAATTCTGTAAATTAACCCATCTTTAATACGATATAATCACATTTCTTTTTTTAGACCACACTGAGATATGGAACATTTCTTTTTAAACTGATGAATTCTGTAAATTAACCCATCTTTAATATGATATAATCACATTTCTTTTTTTAGACCACACTGAGATATAGAACATTTCTTTTTAAACAACTGATGAATTCTGTAAATTAGCCCATCTTTAATATGATATAATCACATTTCTTTTTTTAGACCACACTGAGATATGGAACATTTCTTTTTAAACTGATGAATTCTGTAAATTAGCCCATCTTTAATATGATATAATCACATTCCAAGAGAAAGTAATATCTGCCGAAACAATGATGGTTACAAGATGACATATATACCTGAAAACTTCACATAAGGACAAATTTCATGAGATAACACAAATCAAACAACAGGTTATCAAACAGTGGCATAGCAGGCTGTGACAAATGCATTAACACTATCCCAACAAAACTAAAGAGAAAAAATTACAAGGATTGAGGGTACAATTTCAAGAAAAGACTCACCAAAAACATATAAGCCTGTATGTTTCACTGTGTACAGTTAATATACAATTATATTAAAATAAATAAGTCCCAAGCTGGTGACTGTTAAAACGAGGAAACAGATGATTACTCAGGACTAATTCAAGGGTCTTGCACATCAACACTCTAAACATTGTTCACACTATGGTGAAATCACACTGAGGTATTGAGCAAAAGCTAAATAAATAACAGTCACTTGCCTCTATAATACGAGTAAAAATCTTAATGATAGAAAGAAACTCTCCATGAAAAGTTTATTGAATACAAATTCCACTAGACAAATGTTTCAAATCTGCATGTTAAAAACAAAGTTGGCTACAGTATACTAACAGTTTTAAGCAATTCCTTAGATGATCACATTTCTTCTACAAAGAAACTTAAAAAAAATCAAGATTATTAATATTATTATCTGTTTCTAATAAAATAATTAGAAAACCCAACAAACTGGGTACCACATCTCAAAAGTAAAAATGGATCACTAAACGTGTATTAGGAAAAGTTTTATTTACAGGACCCTCACGGTTTTTCGTAATTTGAACTGAAATTTTATGGACATTTTTATTGTCTAAAAAGAAGGTATTTCCTACACTCTTTTAACATTGGGGCTGTGAAAAGTGATTTGAAGTGGTAAGCTGACTGAAATCCTTCAGCACATCATGAGCTTAACACCCAAGCACAAGAAGCATGGAAGTCCCCAAATGACACACAGGGGTATTCAAGAACCATTTAGAACCACCTTGGTAAATATTGTGCAGCAAGCTAAATACAATATTATGTTATGCCTGTAGCTGCTTTCAAAGTTTTCCTGTCTGCTCATCCTACTGCTGACTACCGTGATGCTTCGACCTTCCTTACCAAATCACAGGTGAAATCATTCGTATCTCAATTGAAAGCTAAACATAAAAAGGTGATAGCAGAAGCATAAAAGGTTGGCAATTGCTTAATTAATGATGCTGAAAAT